CGCGGAGTGGAAAAAAATGTCCTACGAGATTTGAATTTCTGAATAACCTTCATCGTGTAACTCTATTACGGTGAGCGGAGATTTAGTTTTTGATTTATAATGAACATAATTCAAAATCTCTGTCATTTTCGTTTAAGCTGAATTCATTGGTGATATATTTATTCGTTATTTATTGGTTTATATAAGTAAGTTGAATCGTAGAAAAATATTCAATTGAACTAGCTAGTGTTCGGAAATTTTTGCGGTCAACATTTGACAGTTAAGAATTCTTCAAGTCACCTTAGTTATTTTACCGTGATAAAATTTAAGTAAATTATAAATTGGAAGTTTTTGTGCTGATGAGGAGAGTGCGTGTTGCGTCCGAATGATTTTTTTAACACTGTGTGTGTCATCCTGACCTAGTATTGCCCCTTAAAAGATGAGTAATGTGACCCATTAATTTTTCTCAGTGTAAATTCATGAGTTCAATTAACGTCCTTTTTCCTGATAGCAATATTTTATGTGCGTTCCATTTAATTTAAATTTAAATAAATCTTAATAAATCTTAATATATTTAATTTAAATAAATCTTAATTTAAAACATTAATTCCCTTTAAGTCATGTTAATCAATTCTTCAAAAACGGCTGCATGAAAACAAAACACATTAAAAAAAACATTATTCCCTAAACTTGAACCAAAACTTTGAGCCGCGCTGGAATTCGGATCTTATTTTCTATACAAACTTGAATGGAGTTCAGAAGTAAGCCAATAGCAATCGTGATTGGCATCAAAGTCTTGTAAGGAGAATAAACTTGACGCTTCTTATCGACAGGAATATTTAGGGAATTGGGGCGGAGCTGTGATGAATGAGAGTGAAAAATAGAGTTTGTGTGATAACGAATGCTATTTTGGATTGAAATTCCGATTAATTCTGTTTTGTAAAAGATGATAAATGCACGCGAATGTATCTAGCAGACGTTGATCATAATATTGTTTTTATAAATATGATACGTAATCTTAATTTGTTCTTTTAATAATATCATTGATGATAAAATACAGTTTTAAGTACCTGACTCCAAAATGATATTTTAATATAGTTTGATTTGGTAAATGTTCATATACGACTACTTATTTCGTGGCATTGAGCTTCAAGTCCACGAAATAAGCTGAAAAACTTTAACTCGCACGTGTTCCTAGACGCACGTGTTCCGAGACGCACGTGTTCCTAGACGCACGTGTTCCTAGACGCACGTGTTCCTAGAAGCCTGTGTTCTGAGACGCACTTGTTCCTAGACGCACGTGTTCCGAGACGCACGTGTTCCTAGACGCACGTGTTCCTAGACGCACGTGTTCCGAGACGCACGTGTTCCGAGACGCACGTGTTCCGAGACGCACGTGTTTCAAGACGCACGTGTTTCAAGACGCACGTGTTCCGAGACGCACGTGTTTCAAGACGCACGTGTTTCAAGACGCATTTCTGAAGGCTGTCTAATGCGTCGTTTCTGAAGGCTGTCTAATGCGTCGCTTCTGAAGGCTGTGTAATGCGTCGCTAGTTGATTTAGTCAGAATTTTCGGAAACCCCACCGCATTAATTGAGGCAAGATATACTAATGGATTTGTTATACTAATGGATTTGTAAAGGTGTACAAATTGTGGTTGACATTCACTAGCATTGCACATATATTCTGCTAGACATATCCAATTGCATTGTAAATTTTTGGTGAAATATTCACTACAATTGAAGACATTGTGTTAGATATATTGTATTGATGAACAAATATACTATATATTATATAATATTAATAATATAACATAAAATTAATATTAGTACAGAATATTATATAGATATATTGATGTATATGTGTACCTACAAAAAGGCTACAATAAATTTTGATAAAATGAAAGCAATATTGCATAGAAATCTTCAAAAAAGCTGTAACAATTATTTTAAAAGACGAGGTAGGCAAACATGTATAACATAAAAGTTTAACGCAACATCTTGTATAAAAAAACAATTTCTATAGCAAGTATTGTATGAAGTAAGTTTCGAAAAATTAAAAATTTTTAAGAGCAAGAAAAAGCCCAAACCGAACGATAATGGAACGAACACAGAAACGTAAGTTTCGTCGCCCCTAGTCTAGTCACACTAAGAAACAGAAACTAACGATTGGAATCAGTTTTATAATAACGGAAACGTAACTTTCGTCGCCTCGAGTTTGTCAGGCTCCATGATTGCGAATTTATTTTCATTTTCCAATTTTTTCGTTCACAGGTAGAGGAAACATCTTGTATCAAAGTACCCGGGCAAAATTCCAAGTATTTCAAGTAACTCATCCACTTTGAAAAATTTCAACGCCAAAGTTCGAAGAAAGTTTAGCAAGGAACTCGACCCCAGATCCATCCACATCAGGCAAAAGTTGCAGCAGCGAACCTCGTCTTAAAAGCGATGTCAAAAGATCGCAAACTTTCCAGCGATAAGAAATGAGGCACGCGTGACCTTCAGGATGAAGTTCCTGAATAGGGCGAATAAATCACGGAAATAACCTCAATAAAACGTGACAAGAACGAGTTCCGGCATCAATAAAATGTGTCAATAACATTTTTCAGGTGCGCAAACAATTTTTTAGTTAAATAACAATATTTATTTAAGCAATTAGATACTAATTTTTATTTCATTATCACGTTCTAGAACGCACCTAAATATCCCGTTCTAAAAATATGTTTCACTAGGTTTTTACGAAAATCATGCAGCTAAGCTTAATGTTGCTTAAGCTTAATGTTGCTTGATATGTTGATGAGGGAAATGATTTACCTCCTTTCCTTATTTTCACATGAGAGTCCTACACAAGGTTCTGGATGCCGAATGGCAATTCCTTTAAATTTTAAATCACTCCTTTAAATCACTCCTTATCACTCCTTTAAATCACTCCTTCCTCACTCCTTTGAATTTTAAATAATTCTCCATTGCACATTTATTGTTGCTTAAAATAAAATCATCATTCCCAAATTTCAACTGACGTACAAACATCATGCGACTGCTCTACCCTCACTCTAATATTGCGCCCTTGGAACGTCCTCTTGCATTCAAACATCACACCAACGCTTTACCCTCACTCTAATATTGCGCCCTTGGAACTCTTCCTTTCGTTCATCGCTGCTTTGAATTTCAAATCGTTCTCCATTGCACATTCATTGTTGCTTCAAATAAAATCATCATTCCCATATTTCAACTGACGTACAAACATCATACGAATGCTTTGCCCTCACTCTAATATTGCATCCTTGGAACGTCCTCTCGCAATCAAACATCACACCAACGCTTTACCCTCACTCTAATATCACGCCCACGCGACTTCCCTCTTTTCTCTTTCGACGCAAGTTTTTCTCTTTATCCCGCAAGTGGGAATGTTTGTTATGGGCAGCCCCTGGGCGCTCGAGACCCTCTTCCTCCATGGCACTTCACGAGACTCCCCTCAGTTCCCTCAACACTCGAGCCCTCGCGTCTGCTCGGCCTCATAATCGCTGCTCGACCCTCACGCGCCATCCCAGGACAAAATTTCAGTTTCGGGGCCAAATTTTAAGGCGTAGGCTAAATATTGCCGAGTAGGCTAAATTGCCGTAGGCTAAATATTGCCCACGCTTCACAGCGATGTTTTGACAGACATTAATGAATATAAATTTCTAGAAAATTTATATCCTGGCTTAAAAAATTGGCATGTATTTTGCCCAGCGTGCATTCTGGCTCGGCTGCATTGTTTCGTTTACCGAAAAATTCTCACTTTAGCCAAAATGTTTATAGAACTTGATGAAAGTGATCAACTTTGTAAGCTAGACATGAATTGTTTCATATGATAGTGAATTAAATTAAATTTAATAAAATGCACTCAAATCTGTAATAAAAACTAGTAAAACTGCAAAATGCAAGAAGAGAATAATGTTGGGCAAAGAAAGTATAATCTTTTATAGAAAAATCTTATTGATAATTCTGTAAACAAATATGATATCAGCGTCACTAAAGAACGTATTTATCAACAATAATGTTTCCAAAACTTAATACAGGCAGCAAATTTTTAACTCATTCTCCAGTTCCTAGTCTTGTTCAAGCACAGGTCAACGTTAGCTGCACTTCTGAACCGAGGCTCGCGCAAAGGACCAAACTCCCTAAAGACTTTCGATAACTGCTACGCAATTCCGCTGACTCAGCCGGAATTTGGCGGCTATGGTCGCCATGTATAACATCACAGGCAAGTCGCGGGTGCAGAATATCGCTCATTCTAAATTAATAGAGTCCCCCCATGAATATCGCTCATTCTAAATTAATAGAGTCCCCCCAGACAAGTTGCAAGAGTTTGTCATGCCAGCCAACCAAATTCTCGACCACATATTCGTGGGGTTGGAGTCTATGTTCCAGCCTCTGTCAACAGACTCGAAGTAAGTGTCAACTAACGAGCAATAGTTTTGTTAACGAACTGCGCTACTGCAAAAAAAAACCTCCACAGAGAGAGATGTGACGCTCTAAATTTGCATGACGGCATGAAATAAATCGTTAAGCTGGAGTTATGTTTTTAATTTTACATTTACAAATTTAATGTGTTCAAACTTTACGCATTTTATCCACTAATTATCCTGGCTTTCATTAAAAAAAGTTACTCGTATCATTGCCTCCTGAGAAAACATTGAACCCTTGGGACTGGGAACAATAAGTGCAGTTTCCTGTTAAATGCTTTTGTTTTCTTCATGCTAAAAGTTTGGCGGGGCTAGGAACTGAAGCCCAGAATCTTTGCTAAATTTTATTTAAGCAAAACAACTAGGAATTCATGGAGGAAACAAATATTATTTTTTAGGTGATGGTAACCTTTGAAAAAAGGGTTCATGATTAATTTTATTAGTTGTGAATAAATTATTACTGCATTTACTTTGATTTTAAATTGCTTCGCGTCAGATATTCCGCAGAAAAACGCTGCCATCAGGAGCCGTTTTAAGGGTAGAAGCCCTCAGGAGTTTCGGTCTTGCAGGTCCCTCATGTGTGCACTTCTTGACCCCGCGTCCCGGGAACTACAGGGCCCAATGCCTCCTTGGGCTCCGGACTTGGGTCACGGTGAGCTAAAGGGCCCAAGTCCAAGTGAGCTCCCGGGCCCATGTCCCCGTGGGCTGCAGGGCCAATGTTCATGTGGGCTACAGAGCCCATGTCCCCGTGGGCTGTAGGGCCAATGTTCATGTGGGCTACAGGGCTCATGTCCCCGTGGGCTGTAGGGCCAATGTTCATGTGGGCTACAGGGCCCATGTCCCCGTGAGCTGTAGGGCCAATGTTCATGTGGGCTACAGGGCCCATGTCCCCGTGGGCTGTAGGGCCAATGTTCATGTGGGCTACAGGGCCCATGCCCCCGTGGGCTACAGGGGCAATGTTCATGTGGGCTACAGGGCCCATGCCCCCGTGGGCTACAGGGGCAATGTTCATGTGGGCTACAGGGCCCATGCCCCCGTGGGCTACAGGGGCAATGTTCATGTGGGCTACAGGGCCCATGCCCCCGTGGGCTACAGGGGCAATGTTCATGTGGGTTACAGGGCCCATGCCCCCGTGGGCTACAGGGGCAATGTTCATGTGGGCTACAGGGCCCATGCCCCCGTGGGCTACAGGGGCAATGTTCATATGGGCTACCGGGCCCATGTCCCCGTGGGCTGCAGGGCCATTGTTCATGTGAACTACAGGGCCCATGGCCCCGTGGACTGTAGGGCCATTGTTCATATGGGCTACAGGGCCCATGTCTCCGCTGTCTCTTATACACATCTAGATGTGTATAAGAGACAGGCCCATGTCCCCGTGGGCTGTAGGGCCAATGTTCATGTGGGCTACAGGGCCCATGCCCCCGTGGGCTACAGGGGCAATGTTCATATGGGCTACCGGGCCCATGTCCCCGTGGGCTGCAGGGCCATTGTTCATGTGAACTACAGGGCCCATGGCCCCGTGGACTGTAGGGCCATTGTTCATATGGGCTACAGGGCCCATGTCTCCGTGAGTTAAAGGGCCCTCTCCCCTGTATCAGCGGTGCTAATCACGCCTGCTGAACTCAAGCACAAGACCGTACTGTCAAAATACATTATGAGTTCGTAATTCCTCAGCCAATCACTGACGTGAAGTCAGCTAGAATCTGAAAACTAGATATACAATCGAGGCACTTCAAGAAATTTTGTATCTTGGACGATCAAAACGACCTAATTCTTGGAAAGAGAAATACATTTTCTTATACGCCGAAAAAACATTCTTTTTGAAACTTCAAAGCAATACATCCAAGAGCCGTAATTTCGACTCTACAAAGAGTGAAATTTACGTGACTGAGGAGCCTATTGTACTTTAAATGAAATGATATCCTCTGTGCGCCTACAAAGGCTACAAGTTCTGGTATTACGAATCTATTTTTCTTAGCCGCAGTACTTGGCACAAATAAAACACAGCATTTTTTGGCCCACGGGAGCAATATTTCTTGGGCCAAAAAAAAACGGTATTTGATGCTGCTCTGCCGATGACCACCTCATGTGCAAGTCGAAAGCCTCTCGTTGTTCTGCCGTTATTCTGCCGTTATTTTGCCGTTATTTTGTCGTTAATCTGCCGTTATTCTGGAAGACGCACCATGACTGGCGCATCGGAATCCGAATCGACGAAGCTGATTGGATGTGATACGATCGAATACACGTGAGCGATCCTCGGTCAGATCGAACTGGCGAGGGTTTTTTTCCGCTCTGTTGGCTCCGGCTCTAGCAAGCCAGGATATTCTGGATCATAGGAATCAATGCTTGTCGTTTAATTTATCACAGCTGATGTTTTGGTGTGTTTCAATTTAGAATTATCACAGCTTATGTTTTGGTGTCTTTCAATTTATATTGATCACAGCTGATGTTTTGGTGTCTTTCAATTTAAAGTTATTACAGCCGATGTTTTGGTGTCTTTCAATTTGAATTTTTAACAGCTGATGTTTTGATGGCTTTCAATTCAACGTTTTCACAGCTGAGGTTTTGGTGTCTCTCAATAAAATGTTTACACAGCTGATGTTTTGGTGTCCTTCAATTTAAATTTTTCACATCTGATGTTTTGGTGTCTTTCAATTTGAAGTTTTCACAGCTGATGATTTGTTGTCTTTCTATTTAAATTTTTCACAGCTGATGTTTTGGTGTTTTTCTATTTAAAAATTTCACAGCTGATATTTTGGTGTCTTTCAATTTAAATTTTTCACAGCTGATGTTTTAGTTTCTTTCAATTTAAAGTTATCACAGCTGATGGCTTAAGGTGTCTTAGCTGTAGGATCCAGTTATGTTGAATGAATACGAAAAAAATGTTGTAACCACTGATTCTTACGCAGTTTGAATAGAGATAAAAAAAATTTTGAGTCGTTTCATAAAGATTCAAACATCTTTAGAACTGTCTTCGGTCAGATTGAGTAAAAGTATGCACACTTTCTTAAAAAAGTACTTGAAAATGAAATGTAAAAAAGCGATTATGTATTAAAAAACACTCGAAATTGGTGATGCAGACTTTTTACTAGTGGTTTAGGTAGCCAAATATCGCTGCCAGTAACGAAAGGAAGAGCACTAGTTTCTTCTCCAGCGTAGTTCAGCCAATTTATTTGACTTATTACGCCTGCTCTGTAAGCAATATCAGTTTAACTATCAACCAAAATATTAAATAGAAATTTCTAAATTACTAATACACGCAAAAATATAAATTTTATTTTCAAACTTATCTCCAATGATTTCTAGTTAACTGTATTTTTAGCTTGCTTGTTAAAATGATGTATTATGAAATAAGTTTATTAGTAACTTTTATAACTTTTTAGAAGGGGATTGTACGAATTTAAGTTGAGACCCCCAATGAAGAATGAACAAAAAAACAAGGACTCCAAATGAAGGAATATAAATGAAACAAATGGGGAAAATATGAAATGCGTGCATTGTGTCATGAAATATGTTAAGAAATGCTTCAGAAAAGTTGTTGCACAGAAAAAAATAAATTAAATAATTACAAGTACATGAATTTATGTATTATTTTGCATCAACCGTCGCAATGCTATTCTTACCAATAACTGGTAAATGGTCAATAAATGGTTGAATAACTAAAAATATACGAGAAAAATCATTGTATTTTTACCTCAGAAAGCAAAAATGCGTGATGTAGTTATGTGAACAAACGAAGATAAACAAGCTCGATGTAAAAAGGTAAAAGATGTATAAAAGCTTTCGAGCACGTAGTGAGCGATGCGATTAGGACTCAAGAAAAATATGAAACGAAATTTGGTCTCCATTAAAAAAACGTAAAAGAGATGTGGCTTTAATCGGCGTTAGAAACTTTTTAATGCCAAACGTTGTTCTGACTGTAACCACCTACTGCTCGGTAGGTATCATGAAGTAATTGATTTACGATAGACCAGACAAAATAAACAGGATCCAGTATATTAGCAATGGAATAAATTTACTAATAAATGATTTCGTAACTCACAATTATTTACATTAGAATGATTTAGCTGCAGTAAATGGCAAAGAATGTGCGGGTTTCAGAAAAAAAAGAACCTCAGACTCCATTAAAGTGATGGAAGTTTATTTTGTGTGTATCGTGACGGGTTAGACTATGATACCAATGCAAGTAAATGATATGCAGGGATAATATAGCAAGTAAATGATGGATGGAATAGCAGCTTATACACTGGCTTCATCTGTCTGGGCTCTTACTGCTGATTGAAGCGGAATATTCTGTGCCTGTTCGGCGCGAGGGAGAACGTCGGCGTCGATCAGTGATAGATTGCGGTAGCATCTTTTATCGTCGAGACTACAATAATGAAAAAATATAACTCGGTACTCACTGCAGTGAGTGACAGAGAGCGCATTTTCTCGTCGACGAAAACATGAAGTCACGGACAGACGGACGGACAGACGGACGGACAGACGGACAGACAGACAGGCGGACATGACGAGCACAATAGGGCATTTTTTCCTTAATGAGAAAATGCACTAAAAAGGATCAAAGACACTTGTGTTCTTTGAATGTCATTATTACCACCTACTTGTTCGTGCACGTTTGAAACTATTCCCAGTATTCAAATTGATTAAAATAACTTATAAAGGGAACGAAGAAAAGTTTTTTTAAAGATATCCACTACTTTACAGGCATAATGATAGACTTCGTTCAGCGACTTACCCAAATTCATATTAAAACATCAGTAATCAGGTTCATTCCCTAGAAATTCAAATGAGGTTTAACCACAATTCAAAAAAAATCCTCTCCACAGAAGCGATATTCCTGCATAAGTGAGCTTTATTAGAAGCTTTAAATAACATTGCACGCAGGTTTCGGTGGTATCACAATCCGCGCGACGCTTCAAAGGTTTTTCAAGCTTCGTTCCCGAGCAGCGCGTTCAACAGGAGTTAAGGAGAGCGAAATTTCATGCCATATACGGCAGGATGCGTCGGTGATGCCGTTGTATCAAGACTCAGTCGAAACATTGACGACGTTGCCGTCCATGTTTGCTTAGGATTTGAAAATTTTCTAGGATATTTTCTTGTAATGAAGTGTTGCTGCAAATTTCCCACTACTGTATGTCAGACTATGAAGTTTAAGTAGGACCGAATCTGACGTGGGTGTTAAATTGATTATAGCCGTCAGATACAATGCCGATCCCGACTTGCGTCCTGGTTCCTCTCTTATGGGATTTTGACTCAGACGCCAGGGTGAGTTGCGTGCTATGGTGGGGAAATTTAGCTTGGAATACTTGATGGAATATCGTGATTTTTGTGTATATAACGACTTGTCATGCGTAGATATTTACTTTCTGTTTTCTGTTGTAGGATCGTGCGTTATTCTCAGATCTCAGTGCTCTAGCTCTCTCCTCGTATTTGCTCTCATCGCACTTTAACTTCCTCCGCATTTAATTTGTTAGTTCGTTTCATATGCCGCACCTCTGTAAAATCATTAGTGTTATTTGTTTATATTAATTTGCCGTTTATCTTTAATAAACTTAAACGTTTGTTCGAGTAACTATTCGCTCAGTCCAAGCTCTAGCTTGCTGATAAAACCAATAGGGAAGTTGCATTTAATTTCCGGTCATTGGTGGACGTGACAATTAGACCATCCGAACTTTGAGTGACGCGATTAATTAGATATTATTCAAGATTAGTTCGTCACATTTCTGCTGAAAATACGAATATCGGAGCATCGGTACTATTTAACACTTGCATTAAGTTCATAAAGAAAAAATTATTTTTAATCCTTGGAAATTATTGAGAGCTTTGCCGCAAGTTTTTAGAATAAATCTCAAAGCTTCAACTTGATTGAAAATGTAATCAAGTAAATTATTTTTCTGTCAGTTCCAGAATTATTGTCGACAATCACATGAGGCAAGAAGCATTCAGTGAAATAAGTGAAACATTGTCCATATATGCACTTCTTGGCGTAGTGTAGATCATCCTGACTCAGTTAGGGACCTTAAAAGGTTGTATCATAATTACGAAGACTCTCTGCTCGTGCTGTGGGTAAGATGGGTGCTGTGGGTGTTTCACTTTATGGACAATATTGCCTTTATTTTCCTGAGTATGTCTTTGCTGCAATCTCATCGCGGTTGATTTGAACTGATTGCTTATGTGCAATCGGGTAATTTTTTTAATTTCAGGTACTTTTTTCATACAAATGCCCTAATAAAAATGTACAGCTGGCAGCATTGTTGTGTTGTGTGGTGATTAATAATGAGCCGCTTAACTGGGTTCTTATCTGATATTTTTAAT